TTTTAAAATTATTCACATAAATTAAGTGTACAATGTGCACAATATTCACATGTTTTTGAGGTGAGATTTTATACACTAGTGTTAACTATCTAATTAGTAAATACCATACACATCACTTCTAGTTACTGTATTGGGCATCATACTAATGATGTGAAAGCTAGGAATAGCGCATGTCACAATATCAAAAAAAAGTCCCAAATGGGCCCAATAGCCATTGCAGCAGATGATTTAGATACAGAACTGGACTTATCACATTCAAATTTGTTGAAAAGACATGCTTGACTCATACCCTATGAGAAAGAATAAGCATAAAGCATTCGAAATGGGCAAAAGCAACTGAAAAGTGGAAGCTATCTTGAATCAATCACAATGGATCAAGGCCCATTGAAGGCAGAAATCTGAAAAATAAGTGCAAACAGTTAAGGAAATTGAAGTTAAAAAGAACAATATAAAAATAATCACTGATCAATATATAGTGATCAGTTCAGTAGTATTAAATGTACAGCCGCATTAGTTATTTAAAGGCTATAAATTTGCTTTTAGTTAGTTTCTTCAGACTTTGATTCCCCTATTCCTTGAATATATCTTTATATATATTTCCTAATAGCTTCGATTTCTCTCCTCATTGTACCTGTAACTGTCTTCATACAGTTACTCTTTTATTCCATTTTGGTTTTATATCGAACATATAGATTTGTTATTACTAAACTGATACTTCATTATTTATCTTCATATACGATTGTGTTGTAGCCTCTTTCACAAGCCTTAATAAATTCTCTCTCTCTTCGACATTGTTTTTTAATTAGCCAAATTCCAGTTAACTAGTCTTAGTGATTAGTTTTGTTTAGTTCCCAAAGTTGTTGTTAGAGGTCAATTCCAGGTGTAACAACGTATTAACTCTTCAATGAGTTGGGTATTTAATAATAAATATTACATTCATTCCACCTTACATGTATTTATCTGTTTTCTGACCTTATGTGATAAATTCTTTGTATGTAATTATTGGCTGTAAGCTTCTTTAAGTGAAGTTTTCTTCGTTTTCTAGTATTAAAATGATAAACGTTTTAAAAAATTATGTAATTTGATTTGTTAATTACCACAGGCAATCACGGGTAGATCGACAAAACTAACCAATCATATGAATGTCTTCCTATTATTCACCACCCATCTGGCTTAATTCTTGAATAATACCTGGGGTGTAACTATATTTAATTTATTACATTCATATGATGTGTTCCCCAAATGTTGCGCCCGGTTCTTCGCACGATACCCACGGGCAGGGTTGGCGATGGAGCTCAATAGAGCCCATTGGAGTTGCGAACGGAGCTAATGGAGTCAATGGATACTGGATTTTTGAGCTCCATTCACAACTCCATTGGGCTTCATTGGTCACATTGTCAGCCCTGCCCACGGGTACTATTCGATTTTAAAAACGAGTTCTTAATGCGAACCCGGGTGCTGTATGCGGTGGCCAACGGTAGCATAGATCCTACTTTTATGGCACGTGGGTATGGGTAAAAAAAGTACTGACTAGCTAATAACATAATTTTACTAAAGTAGAACGAAGAAGATAGTACACAGCCATATTCGATGGTTTACGTTATGGGGGATAGGCCCTAGATCAGTGTATAAAATCTCACCTCGAAAACATGTGAATATTGTGCACATTGTACACTTAATTTATGTGAATAGTTTTAAAAATTAGTGCACTATAAATTTTTATAATACTATAAACCATTTTATATAAATATCTATTTAATTTACATATATAAAAATAGACTGTGTGATTTTATTAATAAATTTAGTGCACTATGTGGCTAGAAATCTTGTGAATTTCGTGCACATTTCTAGCTAAAAACATGTGAAAACTTTTAAAAACATGTGCTCATGAGCACATTGTGCACATAGATTTTATACACTGCCCTAGATCATCACCGAAATGACTTGGATCGGTCCTACAAAATCTGCCAAACCTATCATACAATGATATGAAAAAAAGGATGGATAGGTCATATTGTCATATAAAGATACGTTAGAAATTAGATAGTGATGAAAATGTATTTTAATATCCGAAGCTTTACCTTTAATAAAGAGCAATTTAAACACATTTTCTCAATGAATTCGATAAAAAATTTTTATTGACCAGTTTTATTAGAACATATTAATCAGATCTTTGCTGAGTTTCGAGTAGATGCTTGAAAAACGGCCAAAAAAATCTCTTAAGACTCAACATTTTAAAAGTCTCAGTTAAAGTGTTTCGCTCAGATAATACTCCAATCTGATAAATAAAATACATATTAAGAATTAACGATCAATTCCGTGATCCCATTAGAAACTCACTGACGTAACCGAGATATTTATATATTGTAGTATCAATTGGATATAACATTACCTGTTGCGTTTCAACAAAACAGCTTCTTATTAATGCTAAATACTTTAAAGCTTATAAATTTTTTAATTTTTTAAAATAACAAAATAAATGTAATTATAACATACAATAACAAAAAAATTTTGTAAATATTGTCTACTAAATCAAATATTTTTATTTAATCCTTTAGAATTTTTTATATATTTTCATTAACAACTAAAATTACAAATTTAGAATTCTTTCATTTTTTACTTACCGCTATTTAATACTTGTTATCAAGTGCGTGTTGTAAACTGCCGACGCACCTGAGGCCGATTTTGAATGTTTAATTTCTTTTATAGGAGTAATAAACGAAATATATCTTAAAAAGCAGTACCTCCATACCTTGAAAAATATCATAGAAATACAACTTCAAAGATTACAGAGCGAAATGAAAAAAGTAGTTTATAGTAGATGTAATTTTTTTCCACAGCTTCAGTTCATTTCGCTCCACAACTAACTAATAAAACATTAACACATCGTATTTCAGAATCACAATCACGATTTAGCACTGCATGTTGATATATCAAATTTGTATAATTTGTATTTATGGCCTTTGACGATTAGTGGTTACGGTCTTTGTAGGACAAAAAAAAAATTTTTTTTACACACGTAATACATTTGAAGTCGTTATCACTTCTCTTTTAGAAAGACTTAGCAAAACTGTTGTGGCCGTAACTAGCTAAATCTTATGCCGGCCGTGTTGTAATTTATCGCAAGCCGTAACAATTCATCGTGGCTCTAGCGGTGACTAAAAGTGTCATACTATGTACATATTATTTTTATTCAGAGAAAGAAGATTTTTAGACCATCTGCAGAGAATGAGCGTATTTTAACATTATTTTTGTAATATTTTATTTTATTTCTTTTGGCCTTTTGCTTTTGCTGCGTAAATGCTTATTGTATTTTTTTTAAAAAAGCTTTCTAGTGATTTAACAATCTTAAAAAATGGGGAGGATTGTAACGCATCAATTAGAATCGTTTACTATCAAACAATCAAAATTTTAAAATACATTCAGTTATTGATTTGATTTTCGTGAGAAGCTTATTCAAAATATTGAAAATAAAATTTAACCAAATTACATGAATGTTTCTAATAAACCTTTAATTATGTAAATTGGCAACAATACAACGATCTTTGTTAGCACCATCTTTCCAAATATCTATAGATTTAAAGTTGTATTTTTTTAATTCCTCAACTATCTTAGACATTTGATGACTTCCACCAATTTCCATAACCAACTGTGGTACTTTGTTCTTCCAAACTTTATTAAATTGACTATTTTTCTTTAATAGATATTTAGCCGTTAGATATGCAATTCTACTATGAAATATTGTACCATTCTCATCAGCAACCAATGCCAATTTATCTTCCCATAATCTAACATCTTCATCTAATGTTAAATATTCATAAGGTGAAATATAGGGTGGATTAGAAACCACTAAATCATATCCGCTACTCTTACTCATAAATTCACAAATTTGTTCATCAGTAGACTTCATGATATCAAAATGGAAAAATTCAACATGATTATGTAATTTTTTACAAGAACTCATTATTGAAAGATTTAAATTAGCAAGTGAAAGTGCATCATTAGAAATATCTACTCCGTGAATATAGCATGTATTTTGTGGAAGAGCACTTGAAAGTGACAATGCTATACAACCTGATCCCGTGCAGATATCAATAATTTTAAAGGAAGATTTCTGCGACGTTAAAATGGCAGTGTTTGAAAGAAGAGGTTTCAAGAATGCTATTAATCGACTAGTCCATTCTTCTGTTTCCCATCTGAAAAATTAATATTTTATAAATAATATTTATTTTTTATAAATTAAAAAAGTATTGCGCCAAGCGATACTAATAGATACCTGGGAATTAATACTGGTGGTTTTGTGATAATTTCCAAGTCACAAAATGGCTGAGTTCCTAAAATATTAAAAATTAGATTATAAGTTTTAAGTATTATTTTTATACATTATATGTATTAAATACTAACCGAGTATATACTGTAATGGTTTGGATTTTTCAACTCTTTCACCAACGTATTTGCTTAAAAGTATTTTTTCATTACTATTTAAATTTTTAATAATTTCATTTGTAGAAATCATTGAATCTTTTACTTTGTTCAGTATAGGATTTTTGGTTTGTTGTAATACATAAATTGTTAACCATTTCAATTCTTGTTGTGCCTGGCTTAAATCGTTTGTTTTTGTAAGTAATCGATGGAGCAAAGATTGCATTGTTGTTCATTACCAAAACAATTTTTAACCAAAACAATTAACCATTTATGCATAAACGTGCATAGTGGCTTCCAATCAAAAAAAAACATCGGTAACCATAAGGGTAAACTCGGGACAATTTTATATATGACGTAAATAACATTTTTAATCTGGATTCAAAAATAAATTACCCATATCGATACTGGATTTTGTTGATTATTAATCGACCGTGTCATTCTTTAATTTTCACCAATTAAAAAACAAGTTAGGTAGACTTTTAATGTAAATGTCATAAGTGAGAACAGAATTTAAGTTGATTCGGAATTTTTAAGGTTAAGGTTGGGATTTTTAGTATAATTATTCCGTTCTAATCTAAGTGGATTCCGAACCTATTATGATTCCATTCCCACTTACAATATAAATATCAATCTTATTATAATTTAAGTTCGCTAAAAAACCAATTAATTTTATACTGTAAAATCTTCATATCATCTTTGTATTTAAAATAAAATTACTTTAATATTATCTTTATAAAGTTTACAAAAAAAAAAAATAAAATCTAAAATTATCTGTACATTATATCTAAAATTCGGTATAGTGGTTCATTATACTGTATAGAGTCGATTATACAAACTAATATATAACCGACTCAAATTTTAATACAGTACATACCTGTATACTATACGCTATTCCTTTTTTATTGATCTTCCATGTGAAATTCGAATAAGTTTATCAGATACACATATTAATTCTTTCGATTATTATTTTTTCAGTAAACACATGCAATTTAATGATTATATTCTATTCTGACAAATTATTAACAAATTGTTTATTTATTAAAAAAAATAGATACATATTATATTATTCTCAATAAAAAATATTTTTATTTCTTCCCGATATGTTTTTTGT